ATCCTGGGTTCAAGCCTCGCCCTTAACACCAACTCACTGTATGACCTTGGTGAGATCACTTCCCCTCTCTGGGCCCCAGTTCCCTGATCTATCAAAGGCCAGCTTCTGGTGGGTGGAGTGGGCTACCACTTTGTCCACACTGTTCCCTCTGCTGAGAATGCCCTGGCTGCCATCTCTGCCTCTGATCCTTTAAGGGCCTGTTCAAAAGCCACTTCATCAAAGGAGCCTTTCAGACCCTTCCATTCAAAATCCATCTCTCACAGATTTTGAAATGATAGCATGAACCGACATTCGATGACATAAAAAAATGTCCAAAATGCTTGTATATTAAGTGGAAAAAAAGCAGGAGACAGGATAAAATGCATAAAATGCACTTCCCCATAGATGTGTGTTTATAATTGGAAATGCATAGGAAAAAATGCCTTGTAGGATATAAATAAAAATGTTAACTACAACAGTCTCTGAGTCACGAAGATGATGGTGATAGTGATTTTTTCTTAATTTTTTGAGGTTTTCTAAACTGTGTGCAGTAAGCATGTTGCTTTTATAAAGAGAAAAACTAGAGCTTCTTTCCAGTTAGAAACGTCCTCTCTGCTTCTCCTGTATTTGTGTGACTGATTGCCTGTTACCCTCACCGGCACACACTGATTTTCCCAGTATGATTGGGCGCCGGGTCCCCCCTGCCAGGCTCTCAGTAATATTTATGAATGGAACCGAAGGGGCTGCCTTGCTATTCCTATGGGCACGTCTGCCCTGCAGGGAAACTGAAAACTCCCTGAAGAGAATCAGCGCCCTACCGACTACGCCAGCGTAGGGAGAAAGGACAGAGGGAAGGGAAGTCTGGAGGCCTGAGCACTGGTTCTGGACATGGCCCCAAATTCTTGCGTAATTCTTGCCTCTCTTTAGGCCTCATTTTCCTCACCTAAAAAATGAAGTGGTTGGAGTCCTCGCTCTCTAAATTAGTGCTCTCCAATAGAACTTTCTGTAACGATGGAAAAGGTCTATATTTATGTTGTCCAATATGGTTGCCACTAGCTCTTGAAAGGTGCCAGTGCTATTTAGAAACTGAATTCATTTAGATAGAAATAGCCATCCTGAACTAGTGGCCACCAAACGGATGGTATAGTTCTAAACTCTTTTTCAGCTCTGATGTTTGATGGTTCTCTTGTGTATTGAAGCAAAGTTTCATTTTCTCCGAAGAGCACCCTGTCTCCAACCTCTTCCGGAAACGTAAGTGCCCCTGACCGCAGCCATGTGGTCCACTGGAGAATGGGAGATGCTGTCTCTTTGCAGATCCTGAGCTAGTGCCTACTGATTGGCTAGGGCGGGCACCTGACCCAAGCAAGGCCAATCAGAGCTCTTCTCTGGGACTTCTAAATTTGTTGTGGTGAAATTCACACAACCTCAAATTCACCTTTTAAAAGCAAATGTACAACTGCCAACTCTACATAGTTCCCAAGCCTTCTGATCGCCTCCAGAGGAAGTCTCATACTGATTAAGCAGTTGCTCTCACATCTGACTTTCTACTTCCCCTGGCAACCATCAATTTTCATTCTGTCTCTAAGGATTTGCCTATTCTAGATATTTCACACTGATGGAGTAACATAATACAGGAGCTTTTGTGTGTGGCTTCTTTCATTCAGCAGAACAGTTTGGAGGTTCACATTGCAGCATGCTACCAGTACGCCAGGCCTTCATATGGCGGACCGACATTCCACTGCACAGTCTTTATACAAGGACGTAAGGGCTGTGTCTACCTTTGGGCTGTTGTGAGTAGTGCTGCTATGAACATTCACATACAGGTGAACATTCGTGTTCCTCTTTTCAGTTCTTTTGGGCCAATAGCTAGGAGTGGATGGAATTGCTGGATCATATGGTGATTCTATGTTTAACTTCTTGTCTTCCACAGTGACTGCGCCATTTTGTATTCCTGTCACCAATGTATCAATATGAGCTTTCTGGGACTTTGTAACTTAGACCAAAAAAGCGTGGCTCTGAGTCTCATTCTGGTGACTCTGGGTGCTATTTGTCTGGAAGACTGCAAATGGCACCCAAAGAGGGGGAAAGGTGAAAAGTGGGAAGAGTTCAAGTCACCCCTGAAGCTCTACTCTGTCCCATCCCCTTCCTCATGGTTACGCATGTCAGAAAACTCCCTTCTTCCCCAAGCTGCCAAGTCGGGTTTCTGTCACCTCAAGAGTCCTGACCAATACCCTCTTCTCAGGACTGAGTTCAGAATCTTAATGGTTCAAGTTGTGTCTTAGGGTGCTCTAGGTAGAACCCCTCCTGCCCTCACACTGTGAGTCACTGCATCCCCACCTGGGCCCTGCAGTTGATCCACTCTTAAGTTCCCAGTTCCCCCAGACAGACCTCTAAGATAGACTTGACCCTGGCTGGTCATCTGATGAGAGAGTCAGCCAAAGAGGCCGGTGGGGAAGGGCAGATGGGAGCCAGGTTGCAGGAGAGGAGAGGGCAGGGATCCCTTGAGGACACTGGAGCGGGTGAAGTGGAAGGGAGGCTGGAGGCCAGGCCGTGGGGAGGAGGAGGAAAAGGTGGAAAGAAAAACCCAGCAGAATCGCCAATGTTTAGATGGCCTTTCCAGGGTAATTGAGACAGCGCGTTCGGGGCCAAGCATGAGGGCAACGTTCCTTCAGGTTCCGAGAGGGAAAGCTCTGATTTTGTTTTCTGGGTGGGGGAAGGAGTGGAAAGCAAAGGGGAAGGGCAGTTGTGGAGATAACCGCTCTGACGTCTGAATTCTCTAGGATCTCAAATCTGGGAACTGGGTTCTTGGGAGCAGAGCCCAGCCAGTTGTTTTTCTAAACAGGATCTGGGGGACACAGTGAGTTCCTGGGTGGGGGCTGCAGAGGTGGAGGTCCGGAAGTCCTAGTTGTGGAGGATAAAAGAAAGGTTCAGATGGCAGGAACAGCGTAGTACTGGGGGAGAGTGTAGGCCACAGGTGCCACCATAGGTGTGCTCTTGATGGGAGAACGGTTCTGCATTCGTTTCCTGTAGAGAAAATGCAGAGATAAGCCACTCTCCCATCTTACGTGGTTAGTTGAAATTTTCTTAATTTCTGATAGTTGGAATGCCTGAGATATTCACACGCGGACGCACTCTGCCTTCATCTTTACATGGGGACTTTCCCATGTATGTGTATATATGTGTCTAAACTTCCCCTTTTTGTCCCCAGCTAGTGTGGCTCAGTGGGCTGGGCATTGTCCCATGAACCGAAAGGTCACAGGTTTGGTTCCTAGCTAGGGCACATGCCTGCATTGCAATTGATGTTATTTCCTACATCGATGTTTCTCTCTCTCTCTTCCTCTCCCTCTAAAAAAATAAAAAATCAGCCCTAGCTGGTGTGGCTCAGTGGATTGAGTGCGGGCCTGTGACCCTGAGGATCGCAGTTCTATTCCCAGTCAGGGCACATGCCTGGGTTGCAGGCCAGTTCCCAGCAGGGGACGCATGAGAGGCAACCACACATTGATATTTCTCTCCCTCTCTCCTTCTTTTCCCCTCTAAAGATAAATTAATAAAATCTTTAAAAAAAATCAGAAATCAAAATAAATAAGCTTCCCCTTTTCATAAGGACACCAATCATAGTGGATTAGACCCTTGCTAAAGACCTAGCTGTAACTTGATTACCTTTGTAGAGACCCCCATTTCCAAATGAGGTCACATTTGGAAGTATTGATGGACTAGAGCTTCACATATCTCTTTGGAGGGACATGAGTCAATCCCTTAACAACATGCTTCCCATCAGAAAGGAAAAAAATTTTACGGTGCATTTAAAATTGTACCCATTGTATCACCGAGACTATTCCTGACAGGAAATAACCTCTGTTTTGTCTGAGCATCTCTGAACACCAAGTCGTCTGCTTACAATTGTGCAGGGCTGATAATTAGAAGAATTTTCCACAGCCTAGCTTCTGGCTCCCTAGATTTCCAACCATCTCTTCTCTCCAACACACATAGTCCTGTTGCCAGGTGCCGAATGACACATTCACATCACCACGCGAGCTCTGAGCCTGCACCTCTGTGTCGGTGTGCCAGGTGAGTCAGCTCAGTGGACAGCAAGACACTTCTATATCAAGAGAGCCGACCTAACTACGCACGGAACCTAGACAAGCCACCAGATGCAAACTAAACATATCCTGACTTGAACTTCCCTTAACCAGACCCCAAAAATGCCATGGCCATTCCAAAGCCATGTGACACAAGGAAAATATGACAGTGAGAAAGAAGGTCAGAGTGGGAAAAGTCAGTGATCCCAGCTGCTTTTAATTAAAATGACTTGTGCAAATTTCGCAGAAGCACATGACCATGTGAACTCGTTGTTAGGGCCCCTCCTGGGACTCAGAGGGGAGCCGTGCCTGGAGAGGTCCTGAACTTAGGCTTACTAGGCTCACCACCAGCCTGCCTCGGGATGGCGCCTGTCTCTGTCTTTGAAAACCGCACAAACATTCATTTGAGAAAAACCAATCCATTTCCTATGGACCAGATGCTGTGCTAGAGGTGGATGAGGCCGAGATGGATGAGCCAGCTGAGAAGTCCAAATCCACCTTGTAGACATCACAGCCTCCCCAAGGAGCCCGGCCCTGGAGACACAGGTTTTCCCAGGGGCGAGTCACTGGGTAAAGGAAAAACTTAGCCTCAGTGTAGGCCAGAAAGTGGGGCCTTTCCCCTTGAGAAGTGTAGTGGAAGCTCCTGGGAGCAGAAGCATCCTCCCAGGATACTCTCAAGGCTGGAGAGCCTTCAACAACCAGAGTTCCAGCCCAAAGGGAGAGGTTATCTGTTAAGCCAAGAGCATGGGGGTCAAATCCCTGAGATCAGACCTTGGAGCTATGCCGCCCCCAGAAACCTTCCTCTGCCCAGAGTCCTGGACCCAGAGGACTAGAGCCTCAGCCATCAGTCCAGCCTCTGACCTTGGTCTAGAACCTTCCTGCTTTGATCTGGGACGAGCAGATATTCCTGAAAGCCTAAACCATTCCTTCCTGCCAGTGACTGACAAGTTCCAGCTGCCCGCCTCGACTCCTGCCCAGCCTGCTTCCTATGTCTAGTGAAGTGACAATGGGCTTTCAACTCCAGAAGGGCCGGGCAAGTTTGTCTTTCCCCTGCTGTAGTCTCAGCCCAGGTGAGTAGAAGGCACATGGCAGGTGCTCGATAAGTGTTTGTTGAGAGAATGAATGGAACAAAGAGACCCTTGACTTCTGTGTGGAAGAGACAGTAGACTTGTAATAGTTGGCGCTTGTTCAGTTGCAAATGTCGGGCTCCAATGCAGACTAGCAGGAGAACGAGACAGTTAACTAGTTCACATCACCGAAGTCCAGGGGAATTCTAGCTCTAGGGTTCCTGTGCTCACTGGATATTATGAATCTATCTGTCCCCACCTCTGCATTTTGCTTTCCTCTCTGTTTGAATAAGCCCCAGGCAGGTCCAGGCTTACAGTCCAGCAGAAAAGAGACAATCTTGTTCTGAAAAATTCAAACGAAAATCTCAGAATTGAGTCTCATTGGACAGATTTGGGTCACTTCCCTGAACTAATCATGGTAATCACGGTAACCGGGGACATTTAATGCTTGGATTGTCCAAGCCTGCTCCTGCAGGTGACCCCCCAGTGGGGTCTGTCACCAGGAAGCAGGTGGATCCGAGGCAGACCCACCACAGCATCCAACTGCAGCCTGAATGTTGAGGCACGTCTTCCCCTCTCTGAGGTCCATCTCTTCACACGTCGCCGACGGCGACAACGCTGACAACAGCCCCTGCCTTCTTCACATCCTAGACCTTTTGCGAGGCCCAAAAGGGACCATGAGTCATGATAAGAGCTACCATTTGCCGAGGCATCGCTAGGCATCTGGCCCTGGGCTAAGGAAACCATGTGCACATTTATTTTTATATTTACAACAATCCGTTACTGCTGAGAAGCAGGTCATGAGTGGTTACAAGGCTTGCACACTGTCACGCAGAGAGCAAGGGTGGGGCTGGCGTTTAAAGCAGTGCCCTCAAGCATGAAGCTATATATAAACTGTAAATAATTTTACAAGCATAAGGGATTATTAGTAATGGTCTGTACTGTTAATAATAGTAATTTTTAAAAACTCTGAAAGGAAATTCAAATAAATTCAAACAAATGTTTGTTTAGCACCTACTATGGACTGATCGCTCGCCAGGGGCTCAGAAGGAGATGCATAAATAACTGTGAAACAGGCAGGCTGTGATCTAGTAGAGCCATAAACACGCCCCATGGGAGTGTGGGGAGCAGGAGATTGACTCCACGTGGGCAGGGGAGGGGAAGGGATCTGGAAAGGTCTGTTAGAAGAGGTGGGATTGGAGCTGAGCGTTAAAGATGAAGGGACTTCCACAAAGGGAGGAAAGAGAAAGTCAATTTTATAAGGAACCTGGAAGGATCTAAAGACCAAGAGTAGAGTTCCTGGATAAGAGTTAAGCACCTCTATGCAAAATAACTTTCACACCAGCAGGAGCTTCAAAAAGTGATCGACTAAGTGGAGCACAGCCGTTGCCATGGGAACAGAGGCAAGCCACAGTCCCTGTCATTCGTGACTCTCCCTGGCTTCGAGCTGTCTAGCCAAGGCCACCCCTTGGAAGAAATGCCCAGCGAGATTGCTGCCCCAGGAGGCTGACTCTTGTTTCCCAGGGTGGCAGAGCTGACATCTGGTGACATCTGGGCCTGAGAAGATAGACAGCTAGGGGAGGCCCCTGCCTTGAAGGCCTTTGGACACACAGGAGCCAGTCTAAGCAGGCACTGGGGCCTCATGGAGGGAATGTGGAGGGGGTGCGGAGGGGGTGCGGTGGGGTGCGGAGGGGATGTGGAGGTCGGGGAGCGCACATGAGAGCAGGCTGGCGAGGTGGCTCCATTCCCACTCGGCGCCCAAGGAGTGGAGCAGTGCAAAAGTTGCCGGATGTCGCTGGATGCCTCCAAATCATCAGTCTGTGTCATTTCTGTCCCCACTCAGACCTCCCAGGGCCCCTGGGGACTTTCAGGCCATTCCAATGCTCTGGGACCAGAGCAGCATGTAGCCACTCAAGTTCAAGGGAAACCATAAGTGAAGACCCCTTGCCAGCCTGGCTGTCTCTAACAGGAGGATAAAAGTTTGGGTACCTAACACCGCAGACATTAGGTTCCAGACCTAGGTTCAAATCCTGTCTCTGACATGTTCTAGATGTATGACTTTGGGAAAAGTCACACTTAGTCTTTCTTTGCTTCTTAGTTTCTCCATCTGTAAGATGTAGATGATGATAACGTCACCTGTGTCATTGGAGTGTGTGAGAATTAAGTAAAGAGTCCTGCATGGTATCTGACACATGGTAGATGTTCAAGAAATACAAGCTATTATTATTATTATTATTATTATTATTTTCAAATTTCAGTTTGGTGTTGATTCAGGGTTTTGTTCCTAGGCAGGGTCTCCTTACAGCTTGTGCTAAAAGTTGGTTTCTCCAAATGTGAGGGGACCTGTTATCTTCCACAGAACCAGTGGCTACTGTGAAGAAGGAGGGCAAAATACTGTCACCGAATGCCAAGCCAAGACACTTGAGCTTCTTGCTGCAGGCAGCTGGTAGCCACTGAAAATCTAGGAGGCAAGGACTGACTTGATCAGGGGAAGACAGACTTTCGTTCCCGAGGCTGTGCACTTGTAGGAATAGACTCCGGGGATCATGACAATGGAATCCAAGTACAGTAGCAATAACAACAATAGCTATCACTTCTCGAGAGCTTACTGTGCACCAGGCACTGTGCTAAGAATTTCACCCGGCTTGTCTGTTGTAATCCTTGCAACAAGCTCATGAGGTGAGTACTATTATTATTCCCATTTTACAAATAGGGCCTTGAGGTTAATGCACGTAGCTAAGTCACGCAGCTAGCACACGGCGGAGCTGGGCAGGAACACAGGCAACCCAGCTCTGGGGGCCTCACATCTAACCAGGACCTCAATTCAAATCTGGAGGCTTGTGAGGAGGTGCTGGTGGGCAGCCTGCCGTTCTCACCTGTAGGAGCCCCTCGATTTACCTGGATCTCAGCACCCCTACTCAGTGTGTGTGTGTTTGTGGGCACGTGTGTGTAGAGAGAGGGCAATGTCAGCTGATCGGTGAGGATGGAAGCCTCTGGACATCAGAGTGGGCAGATCCCCTGATGGATGGGCTGGAGGCAGGCCTGGATCAGGCCGATTCCTCCTGAGGCTGGCAGAGCCCCGGCGGGTACTTCTGAGGAGGTGGAGAACAAGTCCTTTCATACGGCCTCCCTTTGAGCTGGCCTCGAGGTGGGGCCGGGGTCGGGTAGGTGGAGGGTGGGGAACGTGTGGAGAGGTGAGGCCGCAGTCAGGCTGGGCAAACAGATTGGGCAGCGGCTGTGAGCACAGAGCACCCATTGTGTACCCAGAGCTCTGCTTTCAATAATCTACTTGGAAGAATGTTTCATTGAGCACCAGAGAAAGGAGCCATTGAAATGCCCAGGCAGGGGCCCTGTGAAGGGTTAAAGGCAAGGGGCTGTGGGTGCCCGGGCTCTTGACACTCCTGGCTGCGATGTCTGATATGGGGTCCTGACACAAGGGGCACTCAGTGAGACCACAGAGAGGACCAGAAGCAATGGTGGGGGTGGGGGGGATGTGTATCTCTCCCGGAAATGCTAATGGGATGCCCCAGCATCAAAGAAGAAAATGTTTCTCCTCTTAGAACCATTTTCCCCAAGCAATATCCAGGAAGAACTGGGTCTCAGATGCCTGGAGCCTGTCCACTGGCGAGGACAGCTCATGTGGGCGGGCGTGTTCCCACCTGGCCTTCTCACGCAGGCCCTTAACGTGGGCCTTTGCAATACATTCTCCATCATGTAGCCACGTGGCTTTCTTAAACATCTCCAGCCTTTCCATTAACCATTAATTCTAATTAATGATGCCCTGGTGGAGAGCATGGGAACCAGTGGTCACTAGACTAGGTATCCAAGGGAACTTGTGGAGTTTTCTTTTGCAGAGGTCTTTCCCAGAGAGAGAAGCTGCTCGGCGGGAGGATGTGGCCAAACTGCTGGAATCCTGTGCTCCACTCCGGGGGCTGCTTACCCAGGGCCCACTCGCCCTTTCACGGCACAGAAGCTTTGCGGCTTGAAGTGCTGGGAGCACCGTGCTGGCCCCTAGGGCTGCTAAGAGGAGGCAGGAGGTGGATGAGCTGGGCCTGCCACTGGGGTGGAACATGTTGCTGGGTTCCCGAGCCTGACCTCCAGCATCCTCATCACCACAGAGCCCACTGCAGACGTTGCTGCCTCCTGAGCCTGCCTCTTCAGGGAGAATGCTCTAGAACTGAAGCTGAGCTTATGCCGTGAACTTGTCATAGTAACCACCTCAGGATGGAAGACTTAAACAATAGCCCGGGTTGTCCCTAGCTTTATTAGAGAGAGGCTCCTGAACTGCACTGACACCCTGAAGGGCAAGCCATCCATCATTCACGTCTGTGCTGGGCTGTGACTTGGTGACGCCTTCGGTGTGTTTAGATAAATGTGGCTCTTTGCTCCTGTACGAGTGGCCCCAAACTCCTAGCCTTTTGGACCAATCTGATGTTTCTGTTTATTCTTTTGTTTCTCCCTAATGTTTTCACTTTGACACTGTATTAGTATAAAACAGGCAGCTGCCTCAAGCCACCTTCTTATGTATTCTTTCTGAGCTGTTCCCAATACTCTTGGGCTGGGAAATGAAACCATAAGCCCTGTAAGAATTGTGTATGAAGTAAGAGTCCTCAGGCTTGATGTGAGGAAAGCCCCGGGAGCTCCCTTCTGAGTCAAAGGGTTGAACCCTGACATTTTCGACTGCTCAGAGGCCATCCTCATTTTCTTTCAGGCCCTTGATTCGATCCAGCCTCAACAAATCGACCTCTGGAGGACGACAGCATGCATAATCTGGGCATGAGATCTTTGCCAAGGTCCATGAAGTCAGAAGGAAATAATATCTGCACCAAGATAATTTTAGTTCAAAGGTGGCCAAACACACACACACACACACACACACACCATGCACAACAATGAAGCCACAGAACCAGCTCACCCAGTTTTTCACTTTTATATCTGTGTCCTAAAGAGTTTTCTGAGGATAAATAATTAGAATCATAACATTTTCAAGCAGGAAAGAATCTTAAGGTCCTTGAGCTTTGCCCCTGATTTTTAGGTTAGGGCTCTTCTCCGTTACTTCCTGGACAGACAGACACTTTATCCCCTTCTTGCATAATTCCAGTGTGGAGGAGCTCAGTGCTGTTTGAAGTCTGCTTTCATCAATGGAAATTTCTGACAGGAAGTAGCCACGCTATCCACAGTATCCACAGTATCCCTCCCACATCTGACCTGCATTTTGTGTGCAGATGTTAGGTTCCTCCCAGTGCTCTGGTGTGGCTGTCCTCTGGGGGCTGGGGGGAGAGTGCTCACCTCTGTGAACGAATGGACGGATCTTACCCGTATGAGGTGGATAATCCTAATGTCAATCATCTGGGAAGCAGCTAGGGCCTGAGATGGAAACTGTGAAGACTAGCTTCTGTTTCTCTGAGACATGCTTTTTGGGCCTGACATTGATACAGCTAAGAGTTCTTGAGAGTCTACCTGGATGAGAGGAGGGCGGACGGACATTGTCCTAGGAAAGAAGGCAGGTAGGCACCCTGCAGAGGACACAAAAGGAAGATGAGTGAGTCACACCTTAAAAGCGGTATGGCCTGAATTCTCCTCACCCTTTGTGGTTATTTCCTCCTTGCCTTTGGAAAGGCCTGGTTTAAACGTTCCAGCCTGGCACTGTTGTGTAATGGCATTAAAAGAAGAGCCAAAGGTCAGTGTTTATTTCCCTAGGGCATGAAAGGGGGGAATGGTGCTCTCTGAGAACACTGTGGGCTTGGGTGATTACTGAGGGACTCATGAAAGAAATGTGACTATTGAGAAACAAGAATTAGGTCCACCCTGGCTGGTGTGGCTCAGCGGGTTGAGCACTGGCCTGCGAACCGAAAGATCACCGGTTCCACTCCCCATCAGGACACATGCCTGGGTCGTGGGCCAGGTCCCCGGTTGGGGGCGGATCGCTGTGTTTCTCCCTCTCTTTCTCCCTTCCCCGCTCTCTAAAAAATAAATCAAATCTTTAAAAAAAAGCTAGGTCCAAGAGCTCCACCCATTCGTCACCGCATAGTGATTCACCCATCACTGTCACCCTTGTATTAAGCTGCCAGATGACTTAGAGAAGTAATCCTTTCGGTTGGCCTGGAATCTGTCTCCCAGTCACGTTCACTCTCAGGAACTTCGTCTTTTCTCTCAGAGCCACAGAGGACAAGCAGGAAAACTGCTCTCATTCATCGAGTGCTTACGATGTGCTGGGCACATTAGTGAGCACTGCATCGTATCTCATTTATATCATTATCCCATTTTACAGACGGGGAAATGGAGGCTGAGGGAGGTTAAATAATTGGCCCAAGGCCCGACCCCAAATAAGCAGCAAGATCTGAACTCAAGCAATCTGACGTCAGAGCCCACAGTGTGAACTCTCAGAAACCATGCTTGTCCTGTCTCTGTGACAGCATCATAGAAATCTGCAGCCTGCAAGCCTCCTAGACCTTTATTTTGGGGGCGGGGCTGAATCCCCACCTCATCCCCATTGCCATTTATACTTGTGCTACTTCTCCAGTTCCTCCTGACCAAGATCTGGGACAATGCAAAATAATTCAGAACTCAGGTCCATCCGACCCCCCTGTGACTTGTCCCATTTCGACCCCCAGGACGGCCTCTGCCAAAGCATCATTTCAGCAGCCTTCCCCTCAGGGGGCTGCATTTTCCCTGTCTGTCCTCAACGTTTCTGCTGCCAGAACAACAGGCCCAGTTTTCCCTTCTGATAAATCTGGTCACCCTAAATATGGGCCGTTGAGTGGTGGCCCCACGCAGCCCTCGTTTCAAAATGCAGATGGACTCCGGCTGCTATTTTGGAGGTCTGGTGTCTTTCCCCACACTGGGTGGTTTTAAGGACACAGGGAGGGACCGTGACACAGGGAAAGATCCCCTGCCAGAATACTGGCAGGGGAAAGGCACCAAGAGAGAAGTCACACCTGGACACTCTGCGTTTCCTAAAGTTCACAAAACACTGTCCCTTCGAGGGGCTCTGTGAAAAACAGGGTTCTTGGTCACAGGAAGTTGGGGAACACAGCTTCACCAGCCTCCCTTCTGGAGATTAGCATATTAAACGTTTGAAATCCTGGTTTCGTTTAACTCAGTGCTCCCATTTAAAAATGCAGCCTTGTAAAAATTTGGAAAGCAACACAGAAGTTGCAAACAGGTACCCAATGGCCTAAAATGGTCCTCCGGTAGGTTTGATTTAGACTGTATAGTGCTTACATTTTTCTTTAAATTAGTTACTAACACTTAACAACTGGAATATTTCTCATAATAGGCTACATTTGGGTTTTCTTAAAAAAAAATCAGAAGACTCAGTTGCATGGGTCCACATTCTTCCACTGCCTTCATCTGGCAACACAGCGAGCCCGCTGCTTTACTCATTTATAACACTCGCCTGGCCCAGGAGTTCCCCAGACTTGCTTTCTGAGCAGTGGAGACTTTCTTGGGTGGGAGTTGGCCTGAATGACCCTTGGGGCCCATTCATCCATTCACGTTACATATGCGGATTGAACCTCTAGATCCTGTGGATACATGATGTATACAACAGCCCCTGCCCTTTGGATTCTAGCGCTGGCATTCTAAGGTTCCCGTTATGAGTTGCTGATTAGGGATGGGGGCAGGGGTGGAGAGGGAAGCTGGCAAGGCCAGAACCTAGCTTCCCGATTTCCAGCGCCTGGTGCTTTCCAAAGTCGCCTCCTGTTCTCCATTGCTCTCTCTACTGCCACTCAAACAGCCACTGCGAGCCAAGGGAAGAAGCCACTAACTTGTTCCATGACTTAGACGAGTTCCCGCCCATTTCTGGGTCTCAGTTTCTTTTACTGTGGATGAGCGGGTTGGAAGAGAAAATTATGCGCGTTCCTTCCAGGGAGGGTATTCAGAGATGCTAAGACTCCATAATCTAGGAATGTCTGACCCGGCCATTCCGGAGCTGTTCCCTCGAATTCCAAGCAGCCCCCTCCGTCCTTTTCCCAATCCCGCCGGGGTGGGGGTGGGGGGGGCGGGCTGGAGCTGGAGCTGGAGGGCTGAGCAGCCTGGGCTTCCCGCCCGGGGGCGGAGCCGCCTTTGCGCGTCCCGCCCCTCCACCTGGGGCTTGGCCCGGCAGATGTTACAACTTTTTCGCATTCTCTCCGCGGTGTCAACTCCAGGCCCGCCCAACCCGTGCCTCCCTCCCCTTTCCCGCTGGGGTCCTGCCCACCTCCCTGCTGGGAGGCTGACTGTTCTCAAGACTCCGGGCGGGGCGAGAGGCCGGGCCTGGGGCTGGAGGGTCGGGAGGGAGGAGAAAGGGAAAGCAGAGGCGAGAGAAATTAGGAGGCGGGAGAAATCAAGGGGTAGATCGAAGAGGAGAGTTTGAGGATGGTGGAGAGCACTTTTTGGAAGTCACCACGCCGTGTCTCAGGCTGGCCCAGTTGAGCTGGGGGAGAGGGAGCGAGGGCGGCATAGGGTGAGCGAGAGAGCGGTGGGAGGCAGCTGGGCGCGGGACTGACCTCCCCAGGGCGCCCCGCTGCAGCCGCACAGGTCCGGCCTCGCCTCCCGAACGCCTGTCTCAGACCATTCACTGGGCAGCACTTCGGGGCTGCTGAGCGCTCTCGCAGCGTTCAGGCGGGCGGGCCGGCAGGCCGGCCGGCGTGCGGAGGACTGTGCGCCCTGGGCGCGCGCGGCGGTGAGGCCTGGGGAGCTCTGTATGCCAAGACGCGCGCGCGAGCCGGCTTGGCGATGCACGCCCTCACTGGCTTCTCGCTAGTCAGCCTGCTCAGCTTCGGCTACCTGTCCTGGGACTGGGCCAAGCCAACCCTGGTGGCCGACGGGCCCAGCGAGGCCAGCGAGCAGCCCTCGGTCGCTCCACCCCAGCCTCCCCACATTATCTTCATCCTCACCGATGACCAGGGCTACCACGACGTAGGCTACCATGGCTCAGATATCGAGACCCCTACGCTAGACCGGCTGGCCGCCGAGGGTGTCAAGTTGGAGAATTATTATATCCAGCCCATCTGCACGCCTTCACGGAGCCAACTTCTCACTGGCAGGTAGGCATGACCCAGGCCCTGGGGCTGGCTGTCCAAGCCCCAGATAAACTGAGTTGTGGATTTCCCCTGCCTTTACATCGCCCCTCTGGGACCCGGGAAACCAGGGCTCGGGGCCAATTCTGTCTTCAGGTAGCTGTGTGATCATTAGTAAATCCTTTGCCCTCTCTGGGCCTCCAGTTGAATCATCTTTGAGGTCTCTCGTGTTGCAGGATACTCACACTCCACACCCTGTGAAGGAGACATCTTCCCTTTGTGAAAGGAATATGGCAGCCTCCGACACTTAGGTTTGAATGGTGCTTCTGTTTACACACTCCAAGGCCCTGAACAAACTAGTTAATATCTCTAAGCCTCACTTTTCTTGTCCATCAAATGGGGTGAAGAACAGTTTCTCTTTTGAGAAACAGCAGTAAGGATGGAATGAATTTCGTGTACCCTGCTTGGCTGTCAATGAATCGCAGCCTCTATGTCACTGGAAGGGCTGGGGTGTCCAAATTGTATGATGACTGTTGGGAAGAAACCCAGGTTTTGACAGGCGGAGGTGAGAGATGCACGTGGGATGCCATGACCTCAGTAGCTTTAGGCTAGTGACTTCCTTTGCCCAAGCCTTCGGGTTTTCATCTGCAAAAGCCTCCCAAATTGGCTGGGAGTCCCAGGAAGACATGCTGCTTCCACAGGAGTTGTCCACGGGCAAGGTGGCAGGATGACAGGACTGAAAGAGCAGGGGAACAGGAGGTGGGGGTGCGGAAAGCAAACTGGCCACTTAAGAGAAAATCCTTTGGCAAGGCTGAAGCTAATCCCCCTTGGATGAGGTCCAAGGCCTGTTTTCTCCCAAGTTCCACCCAAAAGCCACTTGTGTGACCTCAGGAACCAGAGCTGTAATCTCCCTGATTCCTGGATGGGAGAAACTGAGGCACGGAGTCAGGCGGGGCCCAACTCATTCAAGCCCGTACCCAACTTCGGGTTCTGTAAGAGAGGGCGGCTGAGAGGCCAGGTACTTGGCAGGGGTCCTGAAGCTGGGAGTCAAATAGCTGCGTTCCCTTCCTTCAGTGTGGCACTCAGCGTTCAGGTCCAGGAACGGAGAGAGGCCGGGAGGAGGAGGAAGAGGGGCCCCTGTATGTGTTTCGGGTGGCACTGGTGGTGAAGACTGAATGGTGACTCACCTCCAGAAGAGGGAGGAAGAGTCTGCACTACCGGGATTTGTGCACGAGTTATCATTTCTGTCCCGAGAGGCGACTTTTGGTTTGAGCAGGGGAATGAACAGCCAGCGGGGCAGTATTCCAGCTGCTCCCCCACCCCCGCCCTGATCTGTAAAGGATGGCTGGGCGGCATCTGCCCTCCACCCCCTACATCTGGCTGCATCTGACTGATGCTGACGACTCTCATTAGTGTTTGTTAATAAATCCAGTCGTGTTTGGTGAAGCTGGAGAGAGCCAGCGTTTCTCATGTTACTTGTTTGCACTGGGCTTCAGGGACTCTGAGCCGGCCCACCCACTTTACACAACAGTGCTCCATGGTGCCCAGCCCCTAGAAAGAGAGGCTTGGCCCTGACTCAGGGCTCCAGAGTACTTCTTGAATGAAATCTAATCATTCATTAGCTTGACTGAGGTCCTCAGGGGCCTCATCACTGAGAAATTTCAAGACCTGGGTTCACAGTGCAGCTCCACTGCTTGCCAGCAGTCTGAACTTGGACCTGTGGCCTCCTCACTTTTGGGAGCTTCAGTTTCATCATCTGCAGAGTGATAGTCTTCCCTGTAGGTTTTTTATGAGGATTAAGTGAAATAACGTATGTGGCATACACAATTAAAAATGGCAGTAGTAGTTAATGATGGATAACAGTAACAGCTATAAGATTAGGAAACCAAAATAAACACCCCACCCCAGTGTCGGGGTTAAAGGTGTCAGGTCTTGATTTAGTTTGGATTCCTTGGGGTGGGGGGGGAGGGGGTAGAAAAAAGGTTTGGGATTCTAAAGCACTGGTGAAGTTCCCGGCTTTTTATTTACTCTGGACTTTTAAGACTTGAGTAAAGGCAAGACCCTATAAGCAGATCACATAGGGGCTTTTACCACATCAGGGAGAATGGGACCGGAATGAATGAATGAGGATTCTGCTAACCATTTCCTTCTGCCTTGAGGTGGTAGCCTGTGTAAGTGACCCAGATCCAGGGGCCACATGCATTTACAGACAGGCGCAGAAGAATCAGTCTCACAGAATTTGAGAACTGAAGGATTTTTAAAGATCTCCCATTTCAACTAACTCACTCTTACACATGAGCAAACACATGGGGGAAGGGAGTGGCAGCCTAGTTTTCTGGAAAAGCATCTGTGCTTGGACTCTGTTTGCATTTATGTTCAAGTCCTGCCCTGGCCTTAAATGACCTTGGGGAAGGTCCTTTCCCTCCTCTGGGTCTTAGTTCTTTTTTAGGACAAGGTGGATAAGGTAGAAGATGACTTGGGTCCCTTCTGACTCTGAGATCGTCTTAGTGTCATTCATTCATTCATTCATTCATTCATTCATTCATTCCATAAGTAATTGAGTGTTCTCTGAACACCACCTGAGAGGAATGCAGTGGGCCCAATGGCACGTACACTAAGTGGAATCTCATGGCCGGGTGTGACAATAATTGTGTGGACTAAATCTGGGGGAACTCAGAAGCAAAAGTGGCTCATTTTTCGAAAGGCTTGAAGTGACTTTACAGTGGGGGTGACATCTGGGCCGAGCTCTGACGAGTCGGTAGGAGTTTGCCTGAGGGAGCAGGACTTCTTGAGGCCCCATAGCAGGTTAGTGGCGTAGGACTCAGGGACTCTGAAGTCTGTAAAGACTGCTGGGGATACAAATCTCAACTCCAGTCGCTGTTGTATGAATCACTGGGCAAGTGACTTATTTTACTGAGCCTCAGTTCCTTTACTTGGCAAATGGGAAGGACAATGGCATGCACCCTCTAGGCTGCAGTGAGGGGTTAGTGAGGTGATGTGTATAGGGGCCTAGTGCAATGCCGAGCACATAGTGAGGGCTTGGTGTTTGCTGTTATTATTTCGTTGTCACGATGGACCTCGGTTTGACTCTTAACTCTCCAAATTCCTAGCTGTGTTTCCCTGGGTGAGTGGCTTAACCATTCTGAGCTTTAATCTCCTCATCTGTAAAATGATAATAATATCTGCTTCAGTTGATTTTGATGATTCAAAAAGATAAAGCGCTTGAAGTGCTTAGCACATTTGACAATACCTGCTGGTTGCTGTTACTGTATATGCCGGCACGCTGGGACCAGAGCCCACTTCAGGGTGAGTATCGCTCGGGGCTGGACGGCCGGGGCAGCGGTGGTAGCTCACCTGTGCTTTCTGTGCCCTCTGCACTTCTCCCCAGGTACCAGATCCACACGGGACTTCAGCATTCCATCATCCGCCCTCGGCAGCCCAACTGCCTGCCCCTGGACCAGGTGACCCTGCCCCAGAAGCTGCAGGAAGCAGGTTACTCCACCCACATGGTGGGCAAGTGGCACCTGGGCTTCTACCGGAAGGAGTGCCTGCCCACCCGTCGGGGCTTCGACACCTTCCTGGGCTCGCTCACGGGCAACGTGGACTACTACACTTACGACAACTGTGACGGCCCCGGGGTGTGCGGCTTTGACCTGCACGAGGGCGAGAGCGTGGCCTGGGGTCTCAGCGGCCAGTACTCCACCATGCTCTATGCCCAGCGCGTCAGCCGCATCCTGGCCAGCCACAGCCCCCGGCAGCCCCTCTTCCTCTATGTGGCCTTCCAGGCAGTACACACGCCCCTGCAGTCCCCCCGTGAGTACCTGTACCGCTACCGCACCATGGGCAACGTGGCCCGGCGGAAGTACGCGGCCATGGTGACCTGCATGGATGAGGCCGTGCGCAACATCACCTGGGCCCTTAAGCGTTATGGTTTCTACAACAACAGTGTCATCATCTTCTCTAGTGACAATGGTGGCCAGACATTCTCGGGGGGCAGCAACTGGCCACTGCGAGGGCGCAAGGGCACTTACTGGGAAGGTGGTGTGCGGGGCCTCGGCTTCGTCCATAGCCCCCTACTCAAGAGAAAACGACGGACAAGCCGGGCACTGGTGCACATCACTGACTGGTACCCGACCTTGGTGAGTCTGGCAGGTGGCACTGCCTCTGTAGCCGATGGGCTAGACGGCTACGACGTGTGGCCAGCCATCAGCGAGGGCCGGGCCTCGCCGCGCACAGAGATCCTGCACAACATCGACCCGCTCTACAACCACGCCCGGCACGGCTCCCTCGAGGGTGGCTTCGGCATCTGGAACACTGCTGTGCAGGCGGCCATCCGCGTGGGCGAGTGGAAGCTGCTGACGGGGGACCCTGGCTATGGCGACTGGATCCCACCGCAGACGCTGGCTGCCTTCCCTGGTAGCTGGTGGAACCTGGAGAGGATGGCCAGTGCCCGCCAGGCTGTGTGGCTCTTCAACATCAGTGCTGACCCCTATGAACGGGAAGACCTAGCTGGCCAGCGGCCCGACGTGGTCCGCACCCTGCTGGCTCGCCTGGCAGAGTATAACCGCACAGCCATCCCTGTGCGCTACCCGGCTGAGAATCCCCGGGCGCATCCTGACTTTAATGGGGGTGCTTGGGGGCCCTGGGCTAGTGATGAAGAGGAAGAGGAGGAGGAGGAGGAAGCCAGAACTCGAAGCTTCTCCCGGGGGCGTCGCAAGAAAAAATGCAAGATTTGCAAGCTGCGATCATTTTTTCGTAAACTCAACACCAGATGGATGTCCCAACAAATCTGAGTGGGGGAGGTGAGGCTCTCTGTCCTCCTAAATATATTGCCTCACTCAAGCCTGGTCCTGCTTCTCCCAGGGAGGGGCCTGAGGTCAAGTGTCCGTCTGAAGGGAAATGGAGGCTGTGCAGCCCCACTGCTGGAGAATGGGGATCTTGGCTTGGGGTGGGGGTAGAATAAACTGGACTGGAATGGCTGGATCCCAGTCCTACATCTCCACTGACTTATTCCGTGGCCTCGGGTGACCTGCACACGCTTTCTGGGCCTTCCTTTCCTCATCTGTGAGATGACTCTAGTGACATTGTGGCTCTGTTGTATGGACCTGGTGCCTGGTACCATGGTAGAGTTCCTGGGACCTTACCACCTCCCAGCTCATTTAAGTTCTCGTCCATGAACCCTGTCCTCTGCAGAACTGCTTGGGTAAGGGGTCACATGGAGGCAAGTCCAGGCCTGGACCCCTGCCAAGACATGGCACTCTGGCCACGCTCTGAAGAGATCCCTGAGCACTGTGGGTGGAGGTGCAGGGACCCAGGGAGGTGACTCGGACCAGTCCTTCACATGGCTTGGGCCAGTCCTGGGGCCTGACTGGTAGTGGGGGCTGTGGTAGAAAGCTCTCCTTCCTGTCCCCAGCGCCCAGGGGAACTGGCCTGGCTGTAAGCTGCTACAGGACCCAGGGTGGTAGAAATAGCTATAAAAAGAGCCCTTGAGCCAACAATCAGAAAATATGGGTTCTGCTTTGATCTTAAGCCCAACCTTTTCCCTCTGGGCCTCAATTTCCCCATCTGCAAATGGGGATGCTAGACTTGGCCCTGCCTACCTCACACGGCTGTAGGGGACTGGCCAGGCTAGTGGTTGTGGAGGAGCCCATGAACTTGATTAAAATGCAGTAACACCGAAGCAAAGGCTGTAGTGCTGTCTGTGAGCACGGGGTTGTGTGCATGTGCGTCCTGGGGGCAGGTGTGAGCGAACCGCTGGCTACGTGTATGGGAGAGGAGGTGGGCAGCCTGGCCTGGACGCAGAACGTGTAGGTTCTGCTCTTGTCCTGGCGCGGATCCACAGTGTGACCTCAGGTGAATCCCAGATCCTCTCTGGGCCCACCGCCGCCTGTGTACCGTGGGTGATCTAAGAGCCCTTCCCACTTGGGCACTCTGGGCTCCTGCACACATGTGTGTGTGTTGGGGAACATGAGCTGAGTGGTGGGAGGAGTGGGGTGGGGGTTTCCGAGCCTCCTTGCTGCACAGCGTGCCTCCATCCGCACACTGCGTTCCGAGTATCTCCCTTCAGGTTCCAGTCGGCACAGCGTGTGTAGGCGAAAGCCCTGCTGTGAATTTTGAAAATAGTTATTTTTGTCACTGGCAAAGGAGGCCTGTTAGGACTCGTCAGCCTGTGGATGAGCAGGCCGGGTAGGGCGGGGTGGGTGCGGTGGAGGGGTTTGGGGATTAGCTGGGAGCTGCAACCCCGCTGCAGAGGCAGCTCAGCCCAGGAGTGGAGGTCTGCCCTAGGGCTGCAGGGTGGAGGTGAGCATTCATGTCCTGGGCCCCTTCCTCCCAAACCCGGGCCCCCGCAGCGGGAACCTTTCTGTTTCTCCAATATGTTGATGCCAGGGCCAGGGTGGGCGAGGACCGGGACTGGCAGAGGTCAGCGATCCCTGCCAGCCCCAGAGCCTTCACCTGCTCAGGAGGGAGACTTGGAAGAAGTCACCCACTGGGACAGTGCCCCAGGCCCGGTGTCCCCCAGGGAGGGGTTGTTCACAGTCTGCCCACTACCCAGGATACTCCAGCTGTGCAGGGGCTTGTCCCAGCTGTGTGGACGGGGCCCTCTAAAGTGGCAGGAGCCAGGTCTCCCTTGTGGCTCTAGGCTGGTACCAGTTGAGTAACAGGCTTGCCCATTCCTGCTGAGTCAGCCCTGCTCCAGGTGGCCCGGCCTCCGGCTCCAGCCCTGCTTCTCTTCCTGGGCCCCTGCCCTCTGGGGCCACAAGTGCAGAACTATCAAATGTCCTTTCTGCTCTTTCCTACCTGCCAAGGCCCATTCCCTTGGCCAACCTGGCCCCAAACAGGGAGGCCAGCTGGGGCTGGGGGCTGGCTCCTGCTCCTGAATCCCCGAGGAGAAGGCTCGGTCTAAGCTCCAACCCAGCCTGGAGCTCACCTGCCTGAGTCTTACCTGACCCAGAGCCTGGCAAACGGCCCAGAAGACCCACCTGAGCTTCAACCCACAACCTAGTCCGCAGCCCAGCAGTCCCCAAGCCTGCCTAACGGGGGTGCTGGTGGCGGCTCTGACCTGAGATCTGCAGAGGGTGTTTGAAATAAGAAGTGACCAGGACTCAGGGCGTGGTGACAAGAGGCTCAGCCCGCGTGCTGTGGCTCCTGCTCTGCCCAGCCATCGGCATGGCTCCCACTGGCCCCCATCTTGCCTCTCGTGGCCCCCCGCATCCGCTCAGCCAGGACACCCGGGTCTGGACTCTGTCAGGCCTCTGACTGGTGTCGCCAGGCAGGTGCTCACATCACCTGTGGTGGGGAAGGACGGGAGGAGGCAGACCAGAGGTAACTCTGGCTCCTTGGGTCACTAGTCTGGGGGAGTGGAGCCCAGAGGTGCCAGACAAGCTCCGTTTTGCCCTTTGTCTGGGCCAGATGGCAGCAGTTCTGCCAGGCTGACAGGCTTAAGCGAGGGGCAGGCCTATCTTAGCTGGGCCTTGACTATGGAATCCTGGGCAGCGTTGACCATTTCCTAGGAGCCAGAAGAGAGACCCAGACCTGGCTGGAGGGACTAAGAGACCCACCCTGGGCCTTGGCACCATTTCTTCCTCTCTCTCGGTGCCTACTGGCTACGTTGGGACCTAGGCAAGCAGGCCTGCAGTGTCAGGAAGGGGGCAGGCAGGGCGAGGTGAGGGAAGGAGCCCTGCTCTGGGAGTCAGGGGTTTTGGGTGTGGCCCTGACTCTGCACCTGACTTGTGTGACTGTGAGAGGGAAGCTCCCTTCTCTAAGCCTCGGTCCCCCATCTGTAGGGAGCATGGGCTTCCTGAGGGCCCTTACAGCCCTAGCGGAGGCCAACGAACACAGGGCAGGGTGCTGAAGTCACACAGACGTTAGATGGTTAAGTCATGTGGCATCTGCAGAACGGGCAGTGACTGTACCTGTCTCATGGCCATTGCTTGTGAGGTATTAATAGTGCAATAGGTCAAGTGCTTAGCATAGGGCCTCCCTCTGAAGTGTACTTGGAGTCTGTGAAGGAACATCTTGTCCCCATATTTCTCAGGAGGAAGTGAAGGCTCATGGGAAAGAGATGTGCCATGAGCATTTGGAGCCAATGGGAGGCCTTGAACTTGGGTCCTCTAACTGTAGGTCATGCTGTGCAAACACCGGCCCAGTAGCTGTCATCCCCTGTCCCTTGGGTCTCTGCTTCCCTCTGCTATGTGGGACACCTCAGGGGACAGTGCTGCTCCCTGACTCCTGACTTCTCTCCCTTTTGAGTAGAGCCTGGTATTACTTACTGCAATGAATTAACCAAATCACCCTCTGCCTAGACCCTCTGCAGGATCATTTTTCTCTTGGCCCAGTTTCTACTGATTCTGCCCCCTCACGCTCACTGCCCTTAGTGGGACAGGCCCCTTGGGGGCCGTATGGATGGCACGTTTTCCGTGGTGCCTGCCCAGGCCCAGCAGGACCCTGAGCCACTTGGGTGTGTGCGTGTGAGCACATGTGTGGGCTGTGGAAGGTCGGCTGCCGTGATGCCACCAAGACTTCAGTGTCTCTCCACCCTTACCCCGACCACGGCCCAGGAACTCGGCCCTCCTCTCATTTGTCCCTCCCCACGTAGAAGGGGTGCAGCCTGTACCCCGGTTCACGTTCCTCATCTTGGTGTGGCACGGCTGCGTGCAGTGACTGAGGGGCTCCCACCCCCGGCCGCCAGCCCGTGGCATGCGGTCCTGCTCTTGAGTCCCGCACACAGGTCACAGATGGGGGCACGTGTGCTGGCTCACAGGCCTGTCCTGACCCTGGGGAGGGGGGAGTTTGGCAGGAACAGTCGCCCCCCACTGCAGTCATCGGCTCATTCTCTCTGCTCCATGGAGGCGGGGCCGGCTCCTTGCTGCTCACCACCACGGGGCACAGCTGCCAGGCTTGCAGGCACAGGGAGGCAGTGAATTAGTGGTACCTCCTCAGCAGGGTGGGCAGTTACACTCCAGACGGGGGTGTCGGTCCCAGGCAGTGCCCGCACCCCTGTGCAAGGCTCTTGGAGCTGTGTGTGTGTGTGTGTAAGAGAGAGTTGCCAAGGAGATCTTTTCCTTTTTTCCCTCCGCTTCCTCCCCCTGCTTCCTCTTTAGCCATTGCTCCACCCTCAGGATGCTGCAGCCTGGGTCCTGCCCAACCCCCAGGACCCTGTGCACAGGGTCCAACCAGCACTGGGTGGGAGGGAAGAGTGATGGAGACGGACAGAGAGGAGGACAGAGAGGAGGGCAGAGGGAAACAAGAGAGGAGGTGGAAAGGCATGGCATGGAGGGTGGGGGGCACCGAGAAAGAAGGGCCCGAGGGAGGGAAGAAAGAAAATGGGGCAAAGGCAGGAAAGAAAGAAGAGCTGAAGAGAGCAGTGGCAGTGGAGAAGAACAGCTGGGTGACAGTGGTGATAGGCTGGAGTGGCCCTGCCCCCTGAAGCCACATAGGCCACCTCCACGGTCCCTGTCAGAGTCAGAGTGAAAGCTGGTCATCTGTGCCTCTGTCTCTTCATGTCCTCTCCCAAGTCACTGCTAGCTCCCCCTGAGATGATGCCAGTACCTCCCCCACCACATGGGTGCTTTGCTCTTCTGAACATGCTCCATGTCACGGGAGGCGGGGTGGCGAGGACTAGGAAACAGGCTGGTCAGGCCATTGCAAGGCAAGCCATCACCTCCTTTGTTCAGGACGTTAGAGTCCCATTCATACGGCTTCGGGCCCAGCGGCCCCTCTCTCTCCAGCCCCAGTCCTTTGCACTACAGGAATTGCTGCAAACCAGGCCTGGGCAAGGTGATGTTCAAACCACCAGCTCGGCTCCAGTGGGGGCTCAGAGAATGACATCCACAAAGTGCTGGGACTTGAAGATGGTGGCCTGAGCTTCTGTGGTGCAGAGAGAGCACCGTGGAGAGGGAAGTCTCTTGAATCCCTCAATAATAATTATGCCTATTTACTGAGCAAGTACAGTGTGAGCCTCATTTAGCCCATACGACGGCACTGGAGGTAGGGAGCATATTTACATCTGTTTTGCAGAAGAAGAAATGGAGGCACAGAGGAGTTAGGACACTCATCCTAAATCCCACAGCCTGCAGATCATGGACCTGCTCTAACCACTGCACACGCTCCTCTCTCCTGGGCAATAGCTGGGAGGCCCTCCGTGGTCCTTAGGGCTGTCCAGCACTCACTTTCATGTGTGGAAGCCATGCCCGCCTGGGAGCCAGCTGGAAGGGCTGCGGTGGGAGGTGACGGTGCAGCCCTCCCCGTACTTCCCCACTTACATATCTAGCCTCTAACCGTGTTCCGAGTTTTGCACCCTGCCTGCTGCCCACAGGCTGTGAGCCCAGAGCTCAGGCTTCTCTTCTTTGCCTCTGAATTGCAACGTTGGCGGCAGAAGCGGGAAGCACATTGTTCACAGAAACAAAACTGAGTGGTTTTTCCTTTTTCCGAAGGTGGTAATGGTGCAATTAGTGGCTAAGCCATTACCTTTCCTTTCTTGCTCTCCTCCACTCCTTCCCTTCAGTCTCCCTCCTGCTCCTGTCCTGGGAATAAGTAGTTGCATTGGAGAGCCAGCCCCATCATTTCCACCCTCAACTTCCAGGAAAAGGGGTAGAATTTGGGGGAGGGTGTACCTGATGTCTCCAGCAGCCCCTGGATCTATGGATGTGAGTCAAGGACCTGCTGGGCTTGGGGATTACTAACAAGCACATGCCATGTCCAGCAAATGAGGTGACCAGTAGGGCAATTTGAGGGTTCCAAGGGGGTGGGCTAGAAACCCAAAGAGTTTGGATCCAGATATCCAAACTCTGTTCATTGTGGGCAAATGCTGGCAGCAGACCTCAGTCTGCTGAGCTATGAAATGTGCTTGAGTGGAGGGGGCAGGGTGTGAAGAGTCTGGGCTTCCAAGTTCAGGCTAGAGTGCTGTGCATCAGTCCACTCCATCCTCACAGCCTTCCTCTGTAGTGGCAGCTTTGTTTTGTTTTGTAGCAAAGGAGTTGAAGGTTGAGAGAGGGGCAGTGACTTTCCCAGGGTCACACAGCCAATAGATGCCAGAGCTGAAATTGAACTCAGACCCTGGGGTGAGATTTTGGGCCACGGATAATGGTGATTGCCCTAAAGAGTTGAAGTTGGCAGGGAAAGTGCCCACAAGACTGGGGAGTGAGGGTTTCGGGGCAGGCCGTTGCCACTTCCCTCCATGCCAGGCCATGCTCTCCTCCCCTGGTTTCCCCCACCTCTCTCGCTTTGACTTGAAGCACAAGCAGAAACTGGGACACAGGCCCCAGGAGACCAGATCTCCACGGTCCCTCTGGGGGTACGGGGTGGAAGAGAGGTTATGGAAGAGGCCTCAAGAGGGGACCAACTGCTGCAGCTGTGAGAGGTGGGGATGGGCAGGTCACCAGGGCTATTCCCTCCAGAACCCTGGTATCTCCTCTGCACTTCTTCTCCAAGCTAGGGTGCCAGTGTGATGGACAAAGTGGCAAAGAGCAGAGAGAACCACAGCAAAATAAGAAAGACAAAGGCAGAAGCAAAACGAAAAATGGAGAGGAGCAGAGAGACCGTTACAGAGACTACAGTGAGATGGACAGATAGAGAGAAACATTCCAATGAATTAGCCATCATTTCCCTATAAACCTAAGAACCCGGCTGTTGCCAGGGCAACGGGGCAATACCTGTCTCTCCAGAGGAACTGAAGTTGCCAGGGTAACTGCATCCTGTCTTTCCTGGGGACCATCGTGGAATGTGGAACCCACCATTACCATAGCAACTGCCTTTTTGCCCCACTTAATCCCATCTGAGGGGCCCATAGTTGGAGGTGTGAGAGGTGGGAAGAAAGCAGATCACTTGTGGACTAAGTTTGTTCTCCTCCCCCTCCTGCAGCCCCTTCCCTGGTCCATCACCTGGGGGTTGGGGCTGTTTGGTCCGCCTGCCCCCGGGGCTCACACATGCCTGCGGAATTGTGTGCGGTTGGGCCAGGGTGTCCTAGAGCAGGTTTTGAAGTGAAAGGCAGGCAGGTGTTGGGGAGGCAGTTACCGAGGCAACGGGAACAGGGCGTTTCTGAGGTGGTTGCCATGGCGACCTGGATGCTGACGAAGGCTCGCGAGGCTGTGAGCAGCCACAGTGCCCTGCTCAGAAGCCCGGGGCTCATCAGTCAAGCTGGTTCTAGGCTCTCACTTGGCAGCACGGGCAGGCGAGTGGCCCCTGGTTCCAGGAGAAGAACAGCAGTGCCCCCAGCCCTGGTTTTCCAGCCCAGAGCCTCGCCTGCCCACAGCGCACCAGGATGGCCACCATCACCTGCACCCGATTCACAGAAGAGTACCAGCTCTTCGAGGAACTGGGAAAGTGAGTTACACCTCAGAGAGCTCTGGAGGGTGGGGGGGGGCAGGGTAGGCGTCACGGGCGGGGGTGTGCACCTGCGGGGTTTCCTGTTCTCACACAGGGAAGAAGGCTCTCTGTGTCTAGGGGCTCTGACATGTGCAGAGTGCCCAGAACTGGCGTGGGCATGTTTGCAGGTACACAGATGTGCCAGGGCCAGTTGGGCGAGTGTGGGTATGGGGTGAAGGGTTGATGGCGCGTGCCAGTGAGCGCACACACATGCACACATATGCACGTGATCTGGGAACACACAGATTCTTAGAAACTCAAGGTTTAAAAAAGGGATTTTCCCATCAGCTGAGTCCAAGGCTGGAATTCCCTGTGAGTTTCTCTTGAGGTGGCCAGCAATTTGGATTCCTCTGGTAATAGTTCACCACCTCCCAGGTAGTCCTTTCTGACTTATGACACCTTGAGGCGACTGTGCAGAGTGGCCAACTTCTCCCTGCAAGCACATCTTTCCTCACTTGCCCCCTTCCAGCTCCTCTGAGGAGCGAGGAGGGCGTTGGTGTGGCAGGGGTTAATAACCGAGCCACTGATGAGGCTTTCTGGGTGTTGGGAGGAGGGGAAGGGCAATCAGCAGAAATCAGGCTTGTTGGGAGGGGCAGTGCTGTTGCAGGGCTAGTGGGGTGGGGGTGCGCCAGCTCGGGTCCCTCGGCAAAGTTGTCCTGCCCCAGAGCTCATTTTCTGCCTGTGATGACTGCTGTGGAGAGAAGGGTTGGAGGATGGGGGAGAGGAGAGCCCCTTGGGATAGCCCAGTGGGCTGTGGAGGGTCCGGGAAGCATTTCTGGTTGCCCCCTGCAGGGTTTGTGGAAGATGCAGGGATGGATCCAGGGTAAGGGTACATCTGGGAGGCAGGTTTTCCCTGTGGGCAAAGCAGCTCCAATGCCCCGGGTGGCTGCTTCTGTAGCAGCAGGGGTCCAGGGGAGAGGGGCCCTCTAAACAGATGCGTGCTTGTGTGAGGCCTGGAAGTGCACACACAAGTGTGCATTCTGATATGTGTTGTATAAGGACTGACTCTGGGGTACACTGGTGAGCACTGAAAGGGTGTACAAGTGTTGAGGTGCATGCACCAGGAGGAGGTGCTACTGTGTGCTTCTTGTGTAAAGCCCAAAAATGCAAGTGTGCCCTGCAAGCATAGATGCATGCAAGTGGCACAGGGGTGCTTGTTGGCTGGTTTGCATGGGAGTGAAGGTGTGAATGTGAGTCACATGTATGGCAAGTTAGAGTTGCGTGCATAGCAGCTAGCAATTGTGTATGAGGGCAGGGCATGTGCAAACATATGTTTGTGTAAGGGTGCACATCTGGGACTTGGGCATATTTGTCCCTATGAGGTCTGGACATGCACGTCTGTGTGGGGACGTGGGGGCATGAACACAGGAAGGTTTATGTGTGTGTATGGAAAGCCTGGACCCATAGGCTCGGGTGGGAATGTTGGGGTTGTGAGCTCATGCTGGTGTCCGCCTACGTGCGGAGGTGGGCCTGTAGTTGTGTACAAGCAGGCTGCCTGCACACACACACACACACACACACACACACACACACTGGCACACTGGGAAACTCCGACCCCTGCAGACATACACCCGTGTGCGGATGAGTGCTCAGCCTTATCTGCAGGCTTCCTGTCTTTCTGAGTGGGTTTCTGTGCTGGGGGTGGGCAGCAGGCACAAAATGCTTAGGGCTGCTCTGGGGGACCGAGGCTGTCTGCCAAACTCATGCAGGGACCCCTTCTCAGCTAGGTCCCAGTGCCCACTGGAACCCCAGGGTGCCCTGATTAGCTGGGAACTGCCTTTCAGGGTGTGACCAAGGCTTGGTCTGGGAGGACTGTGTCATAGAGTGCAGTGAAATGGACTTAAAATATGACTCAGGTGCTCAAAATGACAATAAAAGGGATGTTTTGCCCCAAGGGGAGATGGAGATCATGAAGACCGGGTGCTGTGGGGGTGACTTGGCAGAGAAGCCTCCTCATCCCCGCTGCCTGCCAGCGTGACCTGGCCATGGGGACCAGGGGGACCTTGGGTGAGGGGACCAGGCCATGGCAGCGCTTCAGGAGCCAGGGAGACCTTGGGTGTCAATGGCACAAAAACCAAGGGTGGCAGGCATGGCCTGGTCTTGTCTAAACAATTTCAGACCTCTTCCTTCCAGAATCATCAGTGCTCTTAACCTTTTTTAGGTCACATATTCCTCTAGGAGTCTGATGAAAGGCTTAAGTCTACATTCCTCAGGAAAATGCGCAAACCTAAAATACGTTGCATGCAATGCCAGGAGCTAGCAGGACATCAGGAAGGCTGTGGATAGGCCTCAGGTTAAGGATGCTTTCACTGGAAAAAAGAGGATGAGGACCCACACCTCACATGCCTTGGTTAAAAGTGCCAGGGTACCACTGGGAGGGGCTCTTCTTCCGTTCTGCATGGCAGCTTCAGTCTAGGAGCCCAGTGGGGCAGGGAGGGGCAGTGCCCGCAGAGGGCACAGGCTCCGGACCGACACTACCCAGAGCTCAACAACACGGGGCAGGCTAGGGCACTGCTCTCCCCTCACCTGTAATCGGAGATGCAGAAGTGCTGTGAGGATGAGAGGAGATAGTGCACGTGAGGACATAGTTACAGCCCGGCTCCTGGGGACTGGAGCACCGAAGGTGCCTGCGGGGCTCATCCCAGCCAGGACTCGGCAGCCACCACCCAGACGCTGAGCCCCTGTTCCAGGAGCCCACTTCAGACCACTGGCAGGGAGCCTGGCAGAGGCCACTGAGTGGGCCCTACCAGGGGACATGGAGCCTTTGAGCCTTCTTCTGCAAGGATCGGGGCTGCTCAGCTGGAGAGGAGGCATGTGCCTCTCCAGGGCTTCCTGGTGCCTCCCCAGTGAGGACTAGCTTGTGACTGCGGGCCTTCCTTCAAGGAGCCCCGGGGCAGCGCTAGCTGGGGATGTAAAAGAAGCCGTCCCTCTCTCTGCTGGTGGGCAGCCAGCTGGCGGGGAGGAGACTGGAGTCAGTGCCATGGGTGGGACCTCTTGATGCTACTGGAGGACAGTCCCACTGCACAAGACTCAGAAAACCAGGAATTGATTTCAGGTCCCCTAGAGGAGCAAGGTGGGGCTGTCTCTTGGGACTCAGAGCCTAGCTCACTCTTCCTTCCTTTGGCCCCAATCCTACTTCCTTCCAGGGGATGAGAGAAATGAAGCCCAGACCTCAATAGCACAGAAGCTATTTGGGAAGCAGGCTATGGTGACGCCCACTCAGGGCCAGGGTGGGCCAGGTACTCAGGCCATAGCTTCCGGCGGACCAGACAGGTGAGCATTCTGTGTTCTCTGCTCTCCGAGGACCAGAATGAAGGGAAGGGGTCAGTTTCCAGGAGGTGGAAAAGGAGGATGTTTCCTCCAGCTTCTGACATTCTCTGGGCTTTGGACCGACTCCCAGGAAAGGTTAGGGAGGCCGAGAATTGCCCTGCAGCCTGTGTAATCAGCAGGCAGAGCAGAAAGAGCTTCTGAAGGAGCTATTGCTTGAGAGAGGAGAGGAAGGGAGGGAGAGAGGAAGACAGGAGAGCGGGTGCAGCCCACTCTTTTCTCTCTAGAAACAGATCTGAAGTGACTCAAGGGTGTGCAGCTCCTTGCACTTGGGTGTGCAGGGTCCTAAGCGCTTAGGTTTCCCTCTGGGGACGCAAACGCTAATGCCTGCAAAATGCATTTAGCTATCTGGCTCTTCCCTGGCAGAGTTGCTAGGAGGGTCGATGACATAACACTGGAGAGAGAAGACACCTGGGCATGGACACACCACCCAAAGATGAGTGTTGTGCTTTTATTTAGCTTCTAATAACCCATCACATCCTCAGCACTTTGGGGCTCGCGAGCTGATTGGTGCAGGAGGCCAAAGGCTTACTCACCCATCTCACAGATGAGCAGACTGAGGCTGAGCAGGTGGAGTGACTGGCTCGGGGACTGGTGGCAGCGCTCAGACTTGCATGTAGGTCTCCAGCACCTGCATGTGGGGGCACGTTGATGATAGGGTCCCCTTCTGGTGCTGTGTCTGGGGAACCTTACTCTGAAGGGGGTAGTGGCCCGGCAGGGGAGAGGACTCTGAGCTTGTTTTCCAACCACGATTCTGCCTCTCATTTACTGGGCTATCCTGGGTGGATCCTTTGTCCTCTGTGTACCTCCACTTTACCACCTGTAAAATGGGATTGGAATAGCTCTGCAGGTGTTAAAATGGCCCACTGGAGTTGCTGCCCTCTTTCGGCTTCTTCTGTGGGAGGCACACATGTGAAGCTTCAGATTCCCGGGACCTCAGAACAGGAGGGACCCTGGACACTGTCTCTATACATAGCACAGGTGGTGAAGTCAACCACCAGAGGGAGATGGTTCGCCCAAGGCCCAAGTGGGAGGCAGTGGCCTCTCAGGAGCACAGAAGCTATTTGGGAGGCAGGCTGCAGTGATGCCCACTCAGGGCCAGGGTAGGCCAGGTGAGGGGACCAGGTGATGTGCAGGAGCCAGAGGCCAGGAGTGAAGAGCTGGGGAGCAGGTCCATAAGGAGGGGGTGGCAAGGACATGGGAGGGGACAGCCTTTCCTCCCTCCCCCTGCAAGCCATCTGAGCCGCAGGCGCGCACATGTTCTGGTGCATGCGGCAGCCCTCCACCCCCACGCAACCGCCCCCGCACAGGCTGAGACTCACTGACACTCTGCCGAGCCTTCCGCTCGCCCGCCTCCCAGAACAAGCACACGGTGACATTGCTGCCAGCACCCCTGCAGTCTGGGGCCCCACTCTCTCGGCGGGGTTGCTCTCTTGGAATGCAACCCCGGCATCCTGTTGCGAGTGTACACACACCCGTGCACATGGACGTGTGCACACACACACATATGGGCTCCAACCGGAGGCTAAGCACAAATCTACCTCCCTGTGCAGCAAGGGACGCCAGCTGGGCTTCTGGGTCATCTCATCTCTGCCTTCTGGGTCATCTCTATGTCTCTGTCTCTATGTCTC